AATGAGTGGAACTTCACAGCACCATAATTATCTTAAAACAAGTATTATTAAGCATATTTTATGGAGTGGTGGTTATCAATCCCAGTCGGAAGAGGGCCTTTCTATGTGGTCTGTCTGCGTATGTTTTCTTCGGGTGTCCTGGTTTTTCTCACCAGGACACGCAGTGCACTATTCCCTAAACTGCCCCACCCCCCTCTGAATTCATCTGAACAAGGGGTGAAATTTGTTAGTATGTACAGATGTAAACATACTGCCGCTAATGTACAGATGCTAACATATAACTACACTAGATTACACAGTACTTTATAGCTTTTTTTTTTTTTTATATACCGCCTTTCACAGACCAGAGTCACAAAGCGGTTTACAATTGTTATTTTTTTGGGCATTTGTCTCTCACTCCACACAGAGATGGGAGCGGGGTCGCCGAACAGGAGGCGCATGCCAGAACTATTGTGCATATTTTTAGTGGTAGGGGAAACCGGAGTACCCGGAGGAAAGGCGAGAGTGCTATCCACTCAGCCACCGTGCCGCCTATACTTGCCTCTTATTTTGTCAATGTTAATTTTTTACATCTATTATAATTTTAAGATAGAGATTTTAAACTCATTATTGATGCTAGAGTTAGATTATTTTCATTTTGATTAGTATAGCTTTTGTTCACTTAACGTGTGAAGTGTGCTCCTCTTTCCTACTGTTCTATAACCTGGGATGGAACACCGAAATTTCCCCACTGTGGAACAAATAAAGGATCTCTTAAACTTAAACTTAAACTTCCCGTGACAATAAGAGCTACTCCTTTAAGCAGCCCTGGGAAAAATGTGGTGATATATTGGTGTGTACTAATATTAGGTATAATCCTTATTTTTCATCACATATCTGTTATTAGTGCACAAAGTAAGTGCATTTACAAGAATATAATGAATAATACAATCTGAAATAGTTAGTACATTTATATATATTTTGTACATTTCTAAATCCTTTGGCGATCTATTGGTGGCTCCCAAGCTACAGGTTGGAGACCCCTGATGTAGCCTATTAGTCTATAAATGTTAACACTCATTTAACCACTTCTATTGTTACATGAGTATTATTCACAATGGTTCTTCTGTGAGCACTTCTCTTTTCCGGAGAAAACCAATCCCCCTCACAAGTGTGGCTTATCAAGATGCTACTCACCAGAGTCAATATTGCACAGGTGTGACTTGACATTATGAAATTCTCAGTTTTGCTTATAGAGAGCAGCTTAGACAACCAGCCAGAAGCCTCCCCTTTTCCCCCTCGAGTCAGTGAGGATGACTCAGGTGGAGACCCGGAGGAAGAAGAAGAGCTGCAGCTGGTCCTGGAGGCACACCACGCTTTGTGCTGTGTGATAAAACTGCACATTTCAGAGCATCTTTTTATTGTTACCGCCGTGTGCAGTATCCATGCTGTCTAATCTGCACTTTGTACCCCAACTGTGAGGAGGGGTGGATTATCTCCGGTGCTCACTGAAATGGGATGTGTTTAAATAAACGTGGCTCCACTGCAGGAGAAAGGAAACCATTACAAACCATTAGGTGCCACAACAAGTAAATACTATCATGTGGAGGGCCAACGCTCTTTAATACACCAATACAACTGTTTTTTTGGCATTTTTTGGTGAAAAAAATGTATCCGGGATGTTTGATTTTTTTTTAATTTCTTTCAGTTTATTCAAGATGGTTATATACTCCTCATTCATGCCAGCAGCCAACCTTTCTTATTCTGAAATTAATTTGCCGCATAATGGAAATTAGTCTGAAAAGTCAAAACATGTGAACATTGATATTAATCATTCATATATGACATTCAAATATTGTTTACTAAATTGGTAAAAACAATAATATCTTGAAGGACTAATACCTGACTAGAAGGGTCTAAGGTCAGGGGTGATGATCCAGGACATTTATGATCATCTGGTGACATTTATGGACATTGGTCATCTATGGACCAATGGCTCTATGTGTTTTTGTATTGTTACATTACCTGCGTTTGATCTGTTTGGTTCTCTGATCTGTGTTGGAAAATCGAAAACTTTGTAAACTAAAAGGTTGTGATTTATGGCTATAGAAAACAATATTGAATGGAGTGAATTGAATTGAATTATCGGCATAGAAATGACTACAAGCGTTCACCTCCTTGTCCATGTGCTGCAGTGACTTTAGTGACAAAGAATTGCATCATGAATAGATTGTGAGAATACTGTTTTGCAGACGCATAGTTTGCAGCTTAGTGAGCCGTTACTAACAAGACTGTAGTTTTCCAAAAGCACTGTGAAAATGGCACGATAAATAGAAAACGAAGCAGGACCTCAGCTGACTCTACAGGGCGACTTTAACCAAGAGTGTGGAACTTGCGGCAGAAGATAATAGGCTGCTTAAATGGCCTGAAAATCTCTTCTGGAGGCTGAGAGCTGAAAAAGTGATTTCGGAGGCACAGTAAGAACAAAGAAGAGTTTAGAGGGAACTGCCACACTCTGAACTTATGACAAGGGGGCAGCTGAAATGTGTTTTTGTAAGTCATAAGCCCACACATATTTGAAAAAAGTCAAAATATGAATCATACGGTGAATTGTAATCATAAAGATGCAATGTGAAACTTTCCCACTACCCACTTGTTGCCATGGGGATTTGAAATGTTTCAGATTTTCTAGATGATTATCCAATTAAAGAGGAGAATCAGTCTCTTTTTGACCTGCCAGTTTTTTGGTTGGTTTTGGCTCCTATCTCTTTTTTTATACACTACAAAATTCACAAACAGAAAAAAATAAAACAAAGCAATTGTTTAATGTAGGTACGAAAAGTACAAATAAAAGACATACAGTTCTTTAGGTGCAATGCGCTTATAGCAGGGTCCACGAATCACTGGTTGCCATGGGGATTATTTGTTTTTCTTTGAAGGCTCTTTTGAACAACATCCAGTCTATATGAAGACACATTTCCAGATGCATTTTTAAGTACTGTTATTGCTGGACTTATCAGCCGTTTCTTTTTTCCAGTTATGTGAACCCATCAGCGTAGGGCTGGGCGATATGGCAAAAAATTAAAATCTCGATTTTATTTCCTGCTTTGGACCTTTTCCCCTAAAAAAATATTTGTTGATCTTTCTGCTCAATATTCAAGTTCCAAAAATATTTTTAATTTGTTTCCCCCAATACGTGTTATAAAAGTCTCGTACAGACTCATGTGCTGCTAGAACTCTCACAATATCCTTCATTCAATTTCATAATTTTCACATTTTTCAGAAATTCGATTTTCTTAAAAGCCGATTAATTGCCAAAATCCGATTTATTGCGCAGCCCTACTACAGCGTACAGTATATAGTATATATAGTCAAATTATGTATTTTAATTTGTTAGAAGTGTGTCTGAATTCCATCAGCTGTTCGTAGCAACAGGCTTATTGCACTGCGCTGAAGAACAGAACGTTTTAAGTTAGTTAGAAATGTTTATAATTGATGTACTTATGAATTTATATGGATGTGTTTTCTGCTATTGGACACCTGAAATTCTCCTACGGGGGATAAATTAAGCCAATATCTATCTGTTTATCTCCAGAGCTGATGACATAGCACACATTCCTGCTTCCTGTGTGTTTATGTGAACAGCAGAAACATGAGGAAGTGCAGCAAAATACACAGGACTTGTTTCTATGTAATTAGGGTTATAGTCTGTTTAGTATAGAACATGTTTATAGACTTAATATTAAGATTTGTGTTATAGCAGGAATGGGACGCATGTTTATTGCCAAACTATACTGGAATTGGAGTGTTTTGATCTTCACAAATCAGTAAAAAAAACACTCATTAAATCATGCCGTGTCAACAGTCATCTTTCTGCTGTGTTTTGATCTATTAGCTTTAAATAGTTACATTACAACATGAATCCTGCGGCTTATGTTCAAGCACAATCTATATGTGGACAAAATCTCAATCTCATATTAAAATTGTGTGGTTTATAAGTATACAGGTGATTTTAAAAGTTCAGCAACTACTGTATTTCTCTTCCTCTTTTAGGGGTGTTTGAATATTTTAAATGGGGCCTGCAACGTGTTTCAAGATTATATATGAAACACGAGGACTGGACCTATGGTGATTAACTATTATAAGCAAAATATGTATATTTAATGTGAGAAAGGATCTAATGATGCCCTAATCAGTGTTGTTTATAGGATTAGACCAGATGCCAATATGGAAAGAGCCACCATGTGCTGTCCATATATAAAATTGTTCAAACTTGTGGTTCTTTTTTCACTCAAAAGACCTTGTTGGAGCCGGTCGAACAGGTTAATGGCCCCTGGACTGATCTGACTTATGGACAATCTATAGGAGGTATGACCACTCTGCAAGCACTTAGTACATCTCTATCAATTTTAGGCTGTATATAGACTCATCGATTCTCTATCTATCTATCTGGTTCTTATGAAAGACTAACACACAGAGTTATATCAATATAAATAAGTGAATATAAGAACCTACACACGCCACTCTCTTCGTTTGGACACCGCAGTAACAAAGCCACACCATGCCACGTTGCACTTGTTCACGGACAGAGAGAGACAAGTCCCAAAACAAGAGAAGCATGAAGTTTCACAGTCTACAGCGCGTTTCGCAAATCGTGTTGGCCACATTTTTTTTCTTCCCCTTTCTATAATCCCTCGTTGTATTTTCAGACCCACGTCCAATATGAAGCAGTGTGGTCTATATACACAACAACAAATCAGTCCTGGAGCTTGTTGTCAGACTTACCGGGAGTGTGGAGCGGCTGCCCGTGTGTGTGCGCTCCCTCTCGCCTTCACACCGAGCTGCGTCCAGCATCCCTCCGAGTTCAGGGCGCAGATGGTGTGGGACATGAGTGCGCCATCACCGGCAGGACACGCGGAGTTTGCAAAAGTCTTCGATTGTTGAAGCATTAAAAAAAATGTTGGGGGGAGTGAAATTACTGGGGGCCAAAAAAAAAAAACAAGCTGAGACGCTGTTATTCCATGCGCGTGTGTTGTGCGGGTTCAGGCAGCTTCTCTCAGGTGCGCCTCTGCTCCCATCCGCTCTGTGCCAAACTGCGCCTTCCTCTCTGCGCGTCTAAAGACTCCAGTTCACTTCCAACCGCGGGGGGAGTGTGCTGCGCGCTCTTCCACACGCAGGATGGAATGGAGCGAGTGGTGAGTGCGTGTCCATGCGTGCGCCGCTTCGGATTGTGGCATTGGCTGTAAACAAATGTCATTAGTATTTATGCGTAATATACAGGGGTGGTTGGTGTGTTGTTTTCTGTAGGAGAACGCACACTCAGCACGCAGGTTATGTGAGTAATGGGCCATATACAGACCCTACAACCCTAAACTACTTCCGTTAGTTCACGCAACTCAAATTCAAATCAGTTACAATTTCAATGTTTTCATCCTTTGCAGTTGTAAACACAGTTATTTATGTAATTATTAGATTAAATAGAATACACAAAAACCCATTAGTACTGTATATGCGTCAAATTAACAGTGTGGACGAGGACAACAAAAACTAGGGGCCCAAATAACTTTCTGTATCACTCCTTAATGAATGGGGAGGGCGTGTATATTTTGCAGTATTAGTAATTATCTACAATGTTTTATGGCAAAGTCATATACTCCTGGACACTTTCTATACTTTCCACAAACGTTTCTCTATTTCTTATATCTCTAAGTCTAAGTAATAAAATGTGGCAGTATCAAAGTTTCATTCATATCACATCACCAACCTGATGCGGAGAAAAACAAATTAGCATCCCCGCTTCAGATTTATGCAGCTATAATCTGGAGCAGTCTTCCTGAAAATGTCAGAGGGTTTTCTACTCTGACAATGATGAAATCCAAGTTGAAAATACTTCTGTTTAGCTGTGCATACAACTGAATTTTCACTCTTTTTAAAGCCCAGTGATTATTTTTGATTGCTGAGGACTTTAAGTTGCCATGTGAACTGTTCTTTAAAAATGAATTATGAAGCATCAACATAAAATGGTTTTCCGCTAACTCCCCTCAGTCAAATTATCGAATGTGATGAATCAGTTTGTATACCAAACAAAGGCTCTCCTTAAAGCGGCAGTACAAGTTTTAAACGGTTTAAACTTCCCCCTGGTTCTAAACCCCAATGAGACTGAAATGAAAAATACCATTCATGAGAAAAAGGTGTTCTGTCTGGACTGAAGTAACTCGTCTCAAAGTCTCTCTCACTCTGTTTTTTTCTATTCTTGTGATCTTTGCTAGAGCTATGAAAGTAGAATTGACCATTGCCTACAGTTGGTCATTACTGTCAATCAGAGAATCCCTCAGTCAGGCACTTTACTCCCAGTATTTGCCAAAGTGTTCAAGCCAGGATGTTTTTTGTTTTTTCTTTTTACATGGCTCCAGCTTCTCAGCATGGATCATGAAGCCTTTTAGTTTTTGTAAAATTGACTCTGTTCTGTCATTGAAAACCGACCTAGAGTTTTTCTTAGATCCATCCCTGCTGTAATCAGGAACTTCTGGCACAAACATCCCTCAGTCTAGCAATAATATTTATTTATTTTATTTATTTATTTGAGGATAGCCCCATTGAGATAAACTATCTCTTTATCAAGGGGGTCCTTTATCAAAGAAAATTAACAAATAAAATATGATGTCATTGCATCACCATGACATCATACCCAGAGCAGTTGTTTGCCTTTTTAAACTTAGAGCCCATGAAATAGTTTGGACAATTTATTAGGTGAAATTATTTTGCATGGCTGGCTGTGTAATTGTTGAACTTGGAAAAGAACAACATAATTTAAACTCCTGCCCCTGGTGGTAGCACAGAGAGGTACGGAAGGCATGTTTTTCACCATATATTAAAACATTTAATATATGGTGAAATTTAAAAGTAAATATTGGCATTTTTGGAAGTCTGGGAAAAACATGCAGAATATGTCTTCTCCATCCATCCATTTTCTACCCCTTAATCCATTTCTGGGTTGGGGGGGTGGCCAGAGATGCCGTCCACATAGCACCAGCCCCTCACTGATCCTCCTGCAGGTGGATGGCTGCTCTATAAATGTGAGCATAGGCTTGATCTTTCAGTGGGGGCTTCAGGCAAAGTGGGGCCAAGTGTCTTGCCCAAGGACACAACGACAGCAGTCATCAGTGGGAGTCGGTGGAGAAGGTCTCATTGTGGGCTCGAACCTACAACCCCCAGGCTCAAAGGCCAATGCTCTACCAACTGAGCCACTGTCGCCCTTATAATATGTCTTCTTTAAAAAGGAATTATGGGCAGAATGTAAATGTTATGATAAAGACCTGGTGGACCCAAAAATGCAAAACAAAAATATCAGAAAAATTAATTTAAGGGAATTACCCTGCGTATAGGGACGCAGGATGGGACCAGGACAGGACCAGAACGGGACCAAGAGGAGGAGGTGAAAGACAAACCGAGTGAGGAAGAACAGATCGGAAAAAAGCAAGTAAGTACAAAAAGTCTCTATGTAATATATACTGTGTATGCCAGAGATAAATTCACAGCTAGTGCGACGAAACGGTCTGGCCCTGGAGACAAGGTCAGCTTGGTTTGAATACTGCACCTTATAATGGCTGGAGAGTGGTGGGTGAGAGACTCAGCAGGTGAAACGCTCAGCAGGTGAGAGTGAATAGGAAGGGATCACAACAGTAAAGGGTTAAGTTTGCATTATTTAGGCTGCAACAAAGAGTACACAATCAAAAACCATAATTTGTACTCAAACAGATGCCGATAATCACTCATAAACACTGACAGATTTCCAAGTATACAGCTGAATAATGGACTTGATAGTCTGGCTTGCGTGGGCACAGCTGCGTATTGTTCTCAAACAACACAAAACACTGCCCGCTCTCATTTGGGCAAACAGCGACTCATCTTCCCCTCAGAGCAGCTCAACACGAAAAGCTTTTGTCCAAACACATCTGCTGACTGCGCCTGTGGTGGAAAGCCCTGGTGACCTCTTTTGTCCAGGGTCCAGGCAGATTCTGGAGATTTGGTGACGAAGAAGTCGGACAAAATGCTGGAGGAGGGTGCGGAGGTGAAGAGAGTCCAGTCGTTCCGGATAAGAAAAATGTAATAAGATTTAAAGGCGACCAGGGAAAGAGAAAGGGAGATGTAAACAGAGGGAGTTTGAACTGCTAAACGTACAGTAATGTGACGCTAAAAGTGGTTTAAAATGTAGCTTTGAACAGCCTTTCCCATTCTTTCAATCTAAACAAATCCATAGGCCCATTTACTTTATCAAACATGTATATTTTTGTTTATTTTTGCATTTAAACGTTTCCATTTCCAAACAAAACACATAAAGGCTCTTCTTAAAGCTGAGGTACCTACGTATTACTGTAAAGCACATTTAATCAAATGTAAAATCCATAAATCTTTCTAAGCTTTCAAAACAGTTGGTCTTAATCGCTCATATTTACATTTGGTCACAAAATTTGGCCCTCCCTAGTTCACAAAAGTGAACTAGGGAGGGCCACTGTTGCTTGACCAATCAGCTCTCAGCCCTAATCATCAGTTAGGGACTCTCTCTCTCTCACAAGTTTGTGCAAAAGATACATGTTTTCTAGATAAAGACAGAATTTTATGGTCTACTTTGTTCTCATTTAACTTTTACAAGCCTCTTTCCGTTGGAAAAAACGTTAATTATTTATGGAATAGGAGGTTCCGTAGCTTTGATTTAAGATGAGGGACAAAAACATGTGCAGTCTTTTTTTTTTATTTTTTTTTACCAAAATTAATATTTTTCAGGAAAAATAAAATCAATTCAGAATTCTTGACTGCAATATAGATAGAGATACAGTAAATAGAAATGAAGCAAGCTAGAGCTAGAGATAGAGAGATAGATTGATAGATACTCAGGTGTCAAGGCAAGGCAAGTTTATTTGTATAGCACAATTTATCCCAAGGCAATTCAAAGTGCTGAACAAAATAAGAAAGCATTAAAATCACAAATAATCACAGAACATTAAAAAGAAAGCTAAAAATATAAAATCCCTCAGTTGTATGCACAGCTGAACAGAACTGTCTTTAACCTGGTTTTAAACATTGTCAGAGAGGAGGCCTGTCTCACATCTTCAGGAAGACTGTTCCAGATTTTAGCTGCATGAATCTGAAAAGCTGCCTCCCCATGTTTAGTTCTGACTCTGGGCACTGACAGGAGTCCAGTCCCTGTGCTCCTCAGAGTCCGGGCTGGTTCATATGGTACTAACATGTCACTAATATATTTTGGTGCGAGGCCATGGAGAGACTTGTAACAAGCAGAGCTGTTTTAAAGTCTATTCTCTGTCCAGTAGAAGAAACACATCCATCCATGTAAACAAATAAGTACATTAATTTATAAGTTACTAACAATAGTAATGAACTATATATTACCCCATACATCATTCCTCTCATCCACTGTAGTTTTAGATAAAATAAAATATACAGTTAAATCCCCTGATGCTTAAAACACCAGGCTTTTACTTCCACCCCATTAGCTGGAGTGTGACAGCTGGTGGACAAGGTGTGGTTCCAGTGCTATCAGCTCCATATGACAAATGGCAGCGGCTCTATAATCACTGCAGCCTGAGCGAAAGAAAAGTAAACACAGAGACGGGCTCCAGCGTCCATTTGCAACATAACTGCTTCACTAAATGCATGCGAGCGGCAAAGAGCTTTGTGATGACACCAGAATGAGTTTCATCCACTAAAAATAAAAATACAAGGCCAGATGGGGGTGTCCACAGAGTAAGAAAACTATTATTCAAGACACAGAAACTCTCATTTATCATTCAGAGAGACAGCAGCACTGTGCATAAATAACACAGTCACAACAGGATACTACATTTTCTGACTAATATTATCGTTTTGAAATGTTAGTGCGTTTTACCAAAAGATTTAGTAAAACACATGATGCTTAAGTTAGACTCTTAAAACAAAAGTCTTTCTTATAAACTTGTTTTGGAAAATGATCAGGTAAGATTGTGTTCTTTACAATCAATGTGGAATCAGTTTGTCTGTTATTCTGGATGTGTGTTCTGCAGGTAAAATTGTGTTGTACAGGTTTTGAAATATACTGCTTGATTAAACGATCAAATAGCTGTGTTTGGAGTTGTGTCCTAAGAAAATCTACTCCTCCCTCTGGTGGGTGCTTTGAGAGTTACACGCAGAAAGCCTTTTCACGTGTTTCAATTCATTCATTTCACTCAAAAAACTATGCTTACTCTATTGATGCAAGTTCATGAAGCAGTCAAAATGATGCAGTACATAACTTTCTCTATTATTACAACATCCATACATCACAACAGTGGTTATCTCCGCAGACTTCACAAAGCCATCGATTCGCCAACACAGATCAGAGAATCAAACTATTCAGACACAGGGAATGGAATCTTTAAAAAAAAATACACATAATACCATTGGTCCATATGGGGCTGATGACCAATGTCCATAGATGTTGATAAAAGCCATAAATGTCAGTAAATGTTGATCATCACCACTGTCTTTTTAACCGTTCCAGCTACGCCTAAAGTTGGATGGGGAGTTCTCAGGCAGCAAGAAGTTTGAAAAGTCATGTCTGGTTTCTCTGCCCTGATTCACTCCAGTCAGTGTTTGATTGTGCTGTTGTGTTGAGTGAATGCTTTCCAAAAGGTACAGAAGATACACAAATACAGTGCAGTGGGAAACAACAAACCACAACTGCTCATCTGTCAAAGGTTTTCCACACTCTAGCACTGTATACCACTGAAAATGACTAAAAATAGAAATTGACTTCCTTTTAAAATGATTGGGGGAAAGCCTCTTCATAGTATGTATAGTTTATGTATGAATGTGTAAGTATTTATCATTTTAATTTAAATTGGAATTATTTACATATTTTAAGAACAAACTGAATTCAGGACAATACATAGTTTATACAATTATGGTATTATTATGGTATTATTTACTTGCAAAAAAAAGATGTGGTAGAGATTCTATGATACTTTGGGCTGAGAGCTGATTGGCTGACAAGAGTTGCAATCTATTCATTTTATCATCTAGAAAAGCTGAGTAACTAGTCAAGAGAGTTTAGACAATTTCACGTTTTGTTGGGATGACAAACAAATATTCCTTGAGTTTAAAAGCTTATAAAAGTCAACATGTCAATACGTCTAAAACTGTCTTTCTCCGTATTTTCTCATTTCTAAGACAACACACAGACCGTTTCTTTTAGGGCCCCCTCGGGTCAGATCAAGTTTATCGAGGAGCATGTGGTTATTTGTACTTGGAAAGAACCAAAGTGGACAGCTTACACCAGACTCTTACACTTGCAAAATTGAGAGCTGGACACTTTTCAAATTGAGCTCAAGTTAATTGGAGTTTTTAATGGACTTGAGAAACTCACCAAGTCAGCCAAAACATCCAAGAATGATGCAGAGGGCAGGTCCATGTCCACTTTTCACTTTTGTTCTATATTCTATCGCAGGTCTGGAGGTAAATACTGCTACAGCTCTTTGAAGCTCTCTGACCACTGCCCTCACTCAGCCTTTGTTAAAGTTCTACAATGAGCTTTGTGATCCGAGGTGATTCCAGTTCACTCCTGATGCCATGAGAGGAGAAGTCTGTTGTTGAAAAGTCATATTTAATTCAGCCTCTGTGCGTCACTCTGCTATTTTAGGAGCGTGGAAGTCAATGGAAAAATAATAAACAAGATGCTAGTTGCTATAATTTGGTAAAAACAACAAAATAATAATAATAATGATACAAAAACTCAGTCCGTCCCACTGAAGGGAAAGATGAGATGTACTTTATCATCTCACAGGCACTCAAAAAGGTTCACTTTGTTTGGAGTTCAAATGTTTTCTCAAGGTTTTTTTTAGAAGACAAGTACATTTGAATTGAAAATATCAAAATGTTGGTAACTTTATTGAGATTTAATCCAAACCACACCAAATTTGAATCTAGTTATAAGCAATTTTGACAATAAGGCAATGATATTTTTAAGGGACTACTGTCATGGTGTGGATTTTTATTTCTGTATTTGGTTTTATTTTGACAATAGTTATATGTACCCTGTGCTTCTCTCCCCTTGTTGCTACTGCATTGTCTTGTTCATGTCAAGGTCTGTTCTGTCCTGTTTGAGTCCTCACTCACCCCACCCACTGACAACTACATTCCAATAAGTAAAACAATAATGATAATAAACAGAATATTCATTGCTGTAAATCAGTGCTAATGTTTATATTTTCAACTTTTCTTTTACCATGAATGTGATAACTTCCTTCTGATTCTGCGACCCTGTGTAAAAACTGATTTTCCAAAGCCATGTTTTAAACCGGAAAACTCAGTCAGTTGACATTATTGGAAATAAGTTACAACGTCTTGCAGTGATGCCGCGATTAGCCTCTCTGCAGCGGCCTGCGACACTGACAAATTACCATGCTCCAAATGTGCTGCATCAGCCATGGAGATACATGATTCTGTTTGGCTTCACCTGCCCCCCTCTCGTCCCTCGTGCTCCTGGAGCTGAGTGGACTTGGCCATAAGTAACAAACCTTAAATCTCTGAGAACAGTTGTAAAGGTCTAAACCGGGCTGAGAATGTAAAGAAGTTGTGCGGTCGATGGGGTCTGGAAGCTTTATTTGTGCAGTGTGTTTGGGAGCCAGCGGGTACAGTCACAAAGTGCTCCATCCATCCATCCATTTTCTACCCTTTAATCCATTTCTGGGTCAGAAATGAATATTTCTGACCCAGAAATGGGTCTTTCTGACAAGTCTCATAGCACCAGCCCCTCACTGACCCTCTGCAGGTGGTGAGTCCACAGGAGGACGGCTGCTCTCTGAGTGTGAGCATAGCTTTGATCTTTCAGTGGGGGCTTTGTGCAAAGTGGGGTTAAGTGTCTTGCCCAAGGACACAACGACAGCAGTCATCAGTGGGAGTCGGTGGAGAAGGTGTAGAGGTGGGAATTGAACCCACGACCTTCAGGCCTGAAGGCCAATGCTCTACCAACTGACCTACTGTCGCCCCCAAAAAAGTGCTCCATTATGTTTTATTCTTTGAAAGTATTATTGTTTTTGATTCACGTATTCTATTGAATGCCTGGTAAAGCCGTGCTAC